GATAAAAATCATCAAATATCATTTGTTTCATCAATACTTTCAATAGATTTATTAATACCTGATTATCAAACAAAACCAGAATTTTATTATACACAAGGTAAAAAAAAGAAAAATCGAGCAATACATATATTTTTTTTTTCTTACTTCACAAAAAATGAAATTTCTTCATAAATGTCAATCCATTTGAATAAATCGAAGCAGGCAAATCTTTCAATTTTTTTTATCATAACCTCTACCCAAATTAAAAGCCTATGGCCTTCTATGATGCACTACATTATTGATCTAAAAATCCACGAGTTCTTGATAAAAACGTATCTGATATTTAAACAGGCGGTTTTTTAGCGACTAAGTGTCAGAAAACAAAAGAAGGAAGTCTAGACGATAGCTATGACATATCTTTTGAGTTAAGGTCGTGTAGGATAAACTTCTTCATGTTCCGAATCTCGTTGACTGAAAGGCAGTCGACTTATTGCTTTTCACTTGCTTAGTTGCTAGGAAAAAATATCTACTCAGGTTTTGTTCAATTGGTAGTCTAGTTTTTTTGTTTATTATTTATTTAAATATTAAGATATTTTTTAAAAATAAAAAATTTAAAGTATACGACACATTTTGATATAAGGATGAAAAAAAAAGTCAGGACATGATGTACGGGAATTTTTGCCTTGCGGAAACAAAGATTTTTATTAGGAAAAACAATTTATTACAAAAAAAAAAACTGATTTTTTTTTTATTCAAATCCGAATTTTTTTTAGATACTAAAACTCTCCAAATCCTCTTGGTTTCCGAAGAAGACTTATGAAATTTTCTATTAGACTTTGTAAAAAATTTTACTTGTGAGTGATCTTCTAGTCTAGACGATGGCTTAATATTATTTATTGTCCATCCTGAAGATAAGTAAACATCGGATCATTCACAATTATTATTCTTATTTTCATTCTTGCACACAATAAACTTGATTAATATTTAGAGATGTAAGCCGATGTATTGATCAACAGTGGCTCAGTCACTCGACTTACATCTCTAATCATATTATTCTTGTAAAAAGTTGTTCAAATCTTATTTTAAATTTCTTTTTTTGTTTTTGTTTTTGTTTTAATAGGTTTATTAAAAAGTAAACATTCATCTGATATGTATTATAATAATGTATTAACTCATCCATTTCGAAAAATTTATCGTTGGCATCGTTATTTTACATTTTCAATACAAATCTTATGTACATATACAGTTGTATTAATTGTTATTTATAATTTAACATGTTTATTAACATTTTATGGTGTATATTCAATAAAAAATCAACTTGATCGTTTACATTTTTTAATATTAAATCAATTTAATTGGAATATTGAATGGGGTACAAAATTTATAAATGATTTATTAATATGTTCAATATTATCTGTAATTATTTATTGTACACAAATATTTAATGGTTTAGTTAAAATTCAACAACATTTAATATCAGCATATGCTGGTAAATATCTTGATATACCACCACGTCATAATTTTTCAAATAATGAATTAATATCAAAATGTTTACATTTTTCGGGTTATTTATGTGGTTATACAGCATGGGGTTTTATAATATTTTATAAAATTTCATTTATAATTTGTTTTCTATTTCGTTTATGGATACGTTATGATACACAATGGTTTCAACATATATTAGCATTATGTTTACCAATAATATTACTTTATTTATTAAAACATATATTAATGTCATTATTATCAGAATTTGTTTTTTTACAAAATTTTGGTCGTACATCATCATTAAATAATCGTCGAATTTTTTTTATATTTAATTATTTTAATTTTTATTTTGATTGTTTTCTTGGTATATTATCATGTGTTATACGTGTATCAAAATCACTTTTAGCATCACTTTTATTTATGGGTAGATTAGATTATTCATTTATGGGAAGAAATTTAGAAAGATTAGATCAAGGTTATGCAACATATGTTACATTTATTCATATGGAAATTATTCATGGACATCCACTTTTGGGTAAGATTTCTATCTTATTTATCATAACATTTCATCATATCTTACAAAAAACATAATTTAAAATCTTAAAGTACAAGGAAGTCTTGATTGTTGGGAACGATTTCATCTTCACCGATAGCTACGATTTCAAGGCAAATATAATTAAAATTAGTCAGAGATATGAAGATTACTGTATAAATCAGACAAACTAAAACTATTTGATATGGAGTTTTTATTAATGATAGAGATAGCACTAAGCTATCGAGTGAGGGATCTAATATCATGACATTTTTCTCCACGTAAAGACCGACCAAGTCCTTGAGATCAGAGTTCAACATGTTCAAAGATTAAAGTTTAGATATTTTTTACCTGGTAGCAAGACTTTTTGCAACTACCACAAATGTCATACAAATGCTCAGATCGAAATATTGTAAAAGTAATTAGTCCAAAAGTTTGTAAATTAAACTATAAGACAAACTTATTACATTTAAGAAAAGTAGGGGTGTTTCGAGGTCATCAAGATTGGAGGAAGGGAGAAGACCGACCCATACCCATATGGGTATCCACATAGGACTTATCCAAGGAAGGAAACAATAGGTTAATAGTGCTTGAAGTCTGATATTTTCTTCTCAGAGTAATCACTAGAGTCCTGCACGGAGTCACTGTCAGAGTTAATTAAATTTTTTTTGCCAAAAGTTTAATTTTAGCATAAGAACTGAGTTGTGCGAATAATTTTATATTCTATTTTTGAGAAAAGACACTTCTGGATTAAAAAAAAACTTCTGTTCTACTTTAGAAATTGCATAAAAGTCTCTTGTTCTGTTACGGAAGCGTCATTATCTAAATAGAACAAAATTTTCTGGACAGTTCAGTTCGAGGAATTGAACTATTGAAATTAATGCCCAACATTTTCACAGACTACAAAATCTTTTGAATATTGACCATACGACTTCTTATTTTTTTTTGTTTTAGTAACTTTTTGTGATATAATTTGGCATGATATTGAACGTAAACGTCATATAAGTCAACATTCAAAAAGCAGTAAACTAATTTATGATAGTATTATGCATACAAAAGTTCATTTAGCTCGATTTAAATGGCATCTTTTTTATACATTAATTCGTAATGAATATTTAAAATTTTTACGTAAACATGTATTATTAATGACAACAAATAGTACAGGTCTTATTTCATCAACAACAGCTACAGCTGTTGTTTTAACAAATTCATCAAATGAAAAATCATCAAATAATGAACAACATTCATCAATTTTATTCTATGATCGTCCAATAATAAGACAACCACCAATACCACCTAAACGATCCGGTTATCGATATAATTTTGATTATGAACAAACAAGTGATCTTCGTTTTGTCTATCAACAATTAAAAACTTTAACACAAAATGTTTCTCAATTGAAAAAAAATAATATTCAAGAAGGAGAAGAAGTAGTAGCAGAAGAACATAATGAACAAATATATTTACCACCGAATCAAGTGATAAGAAAAAAACAATCACAAGTAACATGTACATTTCCTGATGAATATACAACTTCAAAATTTCATAATATGCCAACTATACAGAGACGATAGGACAGTGTCTTTTTGGTTTTTTTGGTTTTTTAGAAGTCAAAAACAGTTGTTGTTGTTGTTTTTCTTGTATTTGTTCTTTCTTTTTTTTTTGTTTTAGTTTTCAAATAAAATAATTTTAGTTCTCAACCCATAGTGGTCATCTTTTCATAGAACAGGCGAATATATGATTTTTTTTTAAACTTATGAGGAAAGTTCTCTCACTGATAAATTGATTTCTAGTCAGAACTATGTGCATTATGTAGATCTAAATTAGCTATGAATACCATGGCTCTCTTCAAGAAACACCAGAAAAAGGTGATTTTCGAATTTTGACTTGAAACTTTGCATAAAGACAGACCTTAACGAGAGTAGTTTATTGTGAAAGTTAAATCTGCCAATTTATATAAGCGATGTAAAAGATACACTATCACCATAGTTGCATTTTAGTATAGAAACAACAACAAGATCTGAAACATTCGCAAAAGCTATTTGTGTTAAGGCCTGTGTCTATGAGAAGTTACAAGTCGAAATTCGAAAATCAGTTTTTTTCTGGTATTCCTGAGAAGGACACGGCATTCATTTTTAAAAGTACCGTAAAAATATAATATAATGCACGCAGTCTCGAATTAAAAGCGATTTATCACTTGGAGAACTCCCCTCATTAGAAAGCACTGAGATACAACTCATTGAAGACAGCGCCACTTTCAACGTATCGGGCCTCAGTGCTGACAACCCGTTAGAAAGACTTTATTATCACCGTGAGAGATCTTTCCGTGGACTATTATTTTTTTGATTAAGAAAACTAGTACATCATACATGTCGATGTTGATTCCGAATAGAAAATTAGTTGTTAATAAAAGTACTTCTATGCCAAGAAAAATGAGTTTTATCTAGAAAAATGTTTGCGCTAATGCTATATAGGTATTATAAGCGAACGAACATTCTATGAAAGTTTCGTTCGATTTGAAATTATGAAAAATTATGTAAAATCATTATACCGAAAAAGGGCTCGATGCTAACGAAGAATGATTTATTTTTTCGAATTCCACGCAGATAAAAGCAAAAGTTGTTTTTCGATCGAATGAAAGACTTGTTCGCAATAAAAAAAAAAGAACTTCTAATTCTTAATAGCGATATTTGTCGATTAATATTAATTAATAGGAACAAAGATCTTTATGTTATTAAATAACTCATATGTTAAAGTAGACTTTCAATTTTTTACTCAATATCCATTTTGATGCCCAGAGTACAACATCGACTAATATAGACATCTATTTCTGACATAAAAGATTTCTTATAAACCTCGCCTAGCCATTCATATAGGTTTCCAGTGAGTCAACAAAATATCGACCTTGAGTCATCGAAATTATTCATTATTGAATGAGTTATCAATCAAAAGAGCAGACGAGACGACACGGTATTTGATTAGAAATTTCTTGTTATTTACAAATATGTCAACAGTAGTACAACCTCGTATATCAACAAATAAAAGAAAAAAAATTTCTTCACCTTCTCATCTATCATTATTGAGCAAGTCACAAACTTCTACATCATCAATCAGAAAACCTATTGATCCATTCGAGCAACGTCTGAATCATATTCGTATTCATCTTTTAAATAATAAAATACAACGAAAAATTACATATCATGAACCAACACTTATTTTCGACAAATTTCTTTATTTAGGTGGTCTTAAATCACTACGTGATAAAGTAAGTTTTATTCATCGTTGTTTTTGTTTTTTTGCTTTAATTAATCATTTTTTAATGATAAGAATCGTCTCGTACATTTAAATATAACTCATATTCTATCAGTTCTTTGGATTCGCCCACACAAAGGTTCTATTCCTTCGAATGTTAAACATCTTTTTATAAAAGCTGAAGATACATTTTCATTTAATATGTCACCATATTTCGAACAAGCCTGTCAATTTATTGAAGACGCTCGACAATCCAATGGTCGTATACTTGTTCATTGTGTATGTGGAGTATCTCGTTCAACAACATTATGTTGTGCATATTTAATAAAAAATCATTTAATGTCAATTGAACAAGCATTAACGGAAATTCGTTCACATCGTCCTATTGTACAACCAAATCCTAGTTTTCTTCGTCAATTAATTCGTTTTAATGAACAAATTGAATGTGATAAAGCAATGATTAATACAATTGTAGAACAATTGGAAAATGTTTAATTCCTTTTCTTCTGTGAATGATATTAAAATTTTAATCGAATGATTTTTTTTTTTGTAATTATTTTATTTTTATTTTTTTTTTAGATAATTTTGTTTTTTTTGTTTTTTGTTTTTCTAAATTAAATATTATAATGGCATCTGGTACATCCGGTGATAATGATGATAAAAAAAAATCTTCATTCGGTGGTGTTCGATCTGGTTTTCATGGAAAAAATGGTACAGATGAAGCACCATTAGATAGAACTTATTATAATATACTTAATGTATCACCAACAGCGACTGCATCCGAAATAAAAAAAGCTTATTATTCACTTTCATTACAATATCATCCTGATCGAACACAAAATCTCAATGAAATAACACGACGTGAATATGCTGAAAGATTTAAACTTATTTCACAAGCTTATAGTAATATATAAAAATATTATAATATTATATATTTTAATGTTAATGATTTTTTTTTTCTAATAGGTATTCTCAGTGATCCAGAAAAAAGAAAACTTTATAATAGGTATGTGCAAACAAAATAAAATAAACTCAATTTTAATTGAAATCTAATTTCTCTTAGTAAGCCTAGACTAAAAAATAAAAGGATCTTTATGCTTATACTTTTTGAGTAGTAATTTTTTTTTTATCGATGTTTAAAAATATATGAAAACAAAAAAAAAGAATTTATTAGCTTATGTATTCCGTGCGATAGAATAATAACTATTTTCATTCGGAATTTAATACATCAAAACTTTAAAATATTACTTCACTTGTTTATAAAAATCATTTTCTGATAGCGATGTACAAGAAGTCATTGAGACATACATTACAATATGAATGAAAAGTTTTGAAATACTTCTTCGTTTGTTCTCAATATTAGCGTATATGAAACACGATAAATTAAGAATTATATAAACGAATTAGTTAAGAATAAATTCTACCAGTTTCAAATCTAATATAGACATAGTAAATAATAACTGACAGCTGGATTTATTGTAAATACAGAATGTTTCATAAGTCTTGAGGCATGATAAAATTAGTTTCTATACAGATAGACAATAATCTCTAATTGAATGTTTTTAATATAAGCCTTGAGTAACTCATGTCAATTTTTTAAATGACGTATCTTCTCTTGTGATAGAAAAATAAAATATAAATATGAGAATAAACTTTTTTGCAATCGATCGATATGAATAATTCTGCGTGAAAAAAAGTAATTTGATGCTTATCACAATTTATTATTTACATGACATGAAGATGTTGGATGCAAAACGAAAAACAAAGGTTATCTTGTGAACTATCGATAAATTACTGGAAATGTACGAGAAATATTATTAATAAAATATCTTATTAATCGATTGGGAAAAAATACATCTTAACAATATTTATATTTTTTATTATTACAAGAGAAGATATGTTATTTAAAAGATTGACACCAATAACTCAAAACCCATATAAAAAACATTCGATTTGAGGTTATTTGCTATCTGCATATGAACTAATTTTGTCGCGCCTCAAGACCTATGAAACACCCTGTATTTGTATTTTCAATTATGAATAATATAGAATATTACAAACAGATAAAGTACTTTCGCCAGAAACTTTTCATAATAATTTCCAACACGAGAACGTTTTCAATCCATTAATTGCTTTTGTATTTAGACTCTGTACATAAGATAGACTCCAGTAAGGCATGAAAAAACTCTAAAGGATAAGTCCCTTGGACCTTCTACCCAGAGTTATAGGCATTTTATTAGAATTTTGGACAGAAGGCCTAAGAAGATTTATCCATTGGTGTTTTGTTCATATCTCACTGGAGTTTACTTTATGCATAGGGTTCGAATTTAGATGTGGTTGATCCGTTGAAAACGTTCTTTCGTAAGAATCATTCCTTACCAATCCTAATAAATGGTTACAAAACTTTGTCAGTTAAGTTTTATTATTGATAATGAATCAGTTCGTTGTTTACTTCTATAAAATTTGTTTAAATTTAGTTCTATTATAATGATTTTATTATTTATTGAAAGACAACAATTTCCTTTCAATAGATTAATGATATATAATTTCTTGACATGTATTGTAGTTACATATGCAATTAATTTAATGGAATGTTGAGAAAGTTTACTATTTGTTAAGTTATTATTGTGCTTTTTTGTAGTATCACTAGAAGAGTATTTAAGTATCTATCGTTACAACGATTAGTCTTTTCGAGAGCTATACTATATAAAAGAGCTTTGTCATAATACATTCATTATAAAATAAGAATCTATAAGCGTAATTCCTGCGAGATTACAGTATGAAATACGATGTAGCCTATTGTTATTAATTACAGAAGTGATTACTTTATTCAGACGTATTTTTTTCATCATCATCCTTTAACTTAATCCTTTAGAAATGTAATAGAACAAAACATTATTAGTTTTATTCAATTTATTGTATTTCTGGAGAACTTCTGCAGAAACACAATAAACTAAAGAAAACTAGTAGAAATAAATGAATCATACTGTACAGTCTTTAATCGTCTGTGATGGTCTTTACGAAATAAAAAAAAAAAAATTTTTTTTCTATATTTAGATATGGTAAAGATGAACGTCTTATAGCAAATGGTTCAGCTGGTATATCGTTAGAAGATTTTGATGCTGAAGAATTCTTTCGTTTAATGTTTGGTGGTGAACAATTTATAAAAATAATTGGTGATTTTGAATTAGCTAAATCATTTAAACATGCTATTTCGGAAATAATCAAAGATGCTGAAAATAAAGGTACAGAAGAAACACGTGAACAAAAAGACGAAAAAATGCGTAAACGTTTGGCATATGCTGAAGAACGTACACAAGCACGTGAAGAACGTATTAAACAATTATCAATAAATCTTACATATAAATTATCTGTTTTTACAGAATCAATTCCAACACATCATAATGATTTACAATATAATCAAACATTAAATAATTTTATTGAAATAACACGTTTAGACATTCCAAATTTACTTAGTGCACCATATGGTGAACATTTATTACATACTATTGGTTATATATACGTATCAAAAGCAAAATTATGGTTAAATAAATTAGATTCACAAGAAGGTCATCTTGGTAAACGTATGTTAGGATTTGGTAAACATGTACAATCATCATGGAAAGAACGTGTACATGTTGTTAAAGAAACAGTTAAAACAGTTAAATGTGCTGTTGAATGGGGACAATCAATGTCAAAATTAGCACAAATAGCTGATGAAGAAGCAGCAGCAAATTTAGAACAAGGAAAAGATCCTCAATATCCATTTCAACATCATTCAGGACATTTAGATTATGAGGGATATGTACCATCAGAATCAACAGCATCAGCTACACCACCACCACCACCACCACCGCCACCATCACAACCATCTTCTCATACAAATCGAGCAACATCTTCTCCAGTTAAACATAATCGTCATGGTAAATCATCATCGACATCACAACCTTCACAATTAACTGAAGAAGAAAAACGTAAACTTGAAGCTGATACAGCTGCTAAATCTATGGAAGCGCTTTGGCGTGCAACAAAACTTGAAGTTGAAAGTATTGAACGAGATGTTTGTGATCGAGTATTAAATGATTCATTATGTTCACGTGAAACTCGACGACATCGATGTATAGCTCTATTAAAAATGGGTGAATTATGGCAAGACGCACATGATAATCCAGCAGCATCATCATCTTCTAGTTCATTATAGATCTTTATTCGTCTTACGCTTTCTTTTCTTCTTTATAATCAAGTTTATTTATTTCTATTTTCTTTTTTTTTTTTGTATGCCAGTTGTTTTTTTTTGTCAACCAAACTCATGCGTATTGAAGAAATAACATAATGTTCCATTTATAATTTTCTCTTTTTTTTTTGTATTCAAAATCAAATAGACAAAAACAAAAAAAAGTTTAGTGATTCTGCTCTCATGTACTACAATCTGTTTGTTGTATTAAAAATAAAGATGCATACGAAAGTATTTTTATCAATCTGATTCTTTGCATCTTATTAAAAAGATGTTTGTATTTCTTTCATTTTTGTTTTGTTTAGTAAAACAAATTATTACCGTATGAATCTAATCTATTGTTTATTATAAGCGTATAAACAATAAAGTCATGCACACAATATCTTATAACATGTATATAACTTTGAATAATATAATAATTAAAAGATATTGCTAACAAAATTTTTAATGATGAATGACTTGTATCTATGTATTTATCATGTTTAAATGAAATATTTTGAATTATATGAATAGAAAAATTTATTAAAATGACAAAAAGGTCAGTTGAAATATATAGTTGCTCTTGCTAGATACAGGAAGATGATCTATTTTTTGGATACAATTTCTTCATCATCCTTTTACTTCATCCTCCTGAAATCGAATAAACAAGTAGCAGATCTCGAAATTGAACCATTTTTTGCCGGTCCGGTTCGGTCCGATGGAACTTCACAATCGCTTTCACGTGTAAAATGTCTGCTGATCAATTTCAAAGAGTCAGATCAGTTACTATTTTTAGTCACACTGTTCCACTTCAGAAACTCCCATGTCACTTAATGCAGTTGATAGAGTACTCAGCTTTGTTTGTCGATGAGGAATGTCATTAAACCGAATAAATACTCTGTTTCTATTTATTAGCTACATGGAAAACTTCTAAAACGTTCGCATTATAAAGGTTTCTGATTGTTACCAGTTGTGAGGTGCAAAATCCATGTAAGAAATTTTGACAATAAATCAGAATAAAATATCGTTATTTAATTCTGAATAAATATCGACTAGGAAAGATGAAAATCAAATAAAATCCATCTACAATGTTGAACAATTAGATTTTTATCATATTCAAACGAAAAATTTTCAAATTGATAACAAAAAAATCTTTTCTTCTTCTTCTTCTTGTAGAGATAGTTCACTTGTGGAAATAAGACTCATTCATATTCAATTCAATACTTGAAGATATTCTTCTTAAATATTCAAATCAAATGTGAATTGATCAATATTTCATTACTATCGGATAAATAAAATTATCCTCTAATGGACTTCTATTGAATGAAGTCTATCATTTTGCCATTGATTTTTTATCATTACTTAAACACTTTAGAATTCATAGATTTATTTTTCGAAGAAAACTTATGAATATCAGTTTATTGATGGTGATTTAACTTTCTGTTAGTTTTAACTACTAGATCAAAAGTTAATGGGTACAGTTCATCCCCCAATGCAGATCAGGAAGTTGTTTACCTATTCTAAAATATTTGAACATAGATAAAAAAAAACACTGGTCAAAATCTTCTAGAATCATTCAAAGCATTCTATAGATTTCAATAGCTGATAAATCATTATTTCGACAATGCTGTACTATTTGAGATGAACTATCATTTTGTAAAGATCTTTTCAAATACAAATCCTGTATTCAAATAATAAATTAAATGGGTAAGGTGCCGCTAACGCAAAAATCGAGCACAAATTAAAATTCGTCGAACTATATATCAATCAATAGAGCTTTCGAAGCTGGTTAATAATATATAGTTTTTTGTTTTTCAAACCCTACGTCAGACCGGATATTCAAGGAAAAGTTAGTTCTTCAATAAAAATCAAAAATAGCGATTTTTTCTGAAGATTACGGATTATTCTGGTCACAATTGATTATTCTTCGCAGAAATTGCTTTATTTGAATTCAGGATGAAAAACTGTAGTAGTTAGATGATTTTGACGAAATTTGATCGTTGTAGTCTGCTTTGGCTAGTTTCTCAAGACTCACTGTCAACCAGGCTAACTCATCCAGCTTGTAAACCTATCTCCCTTTTTAGAATTAGAGCTAAAAATAATTCTCACACAGTTTTCGAATCATCAAGTAATAGAGAAAAAATTTACGTATGCTTGTAATCAGGTGTTTTAGCGTTTTTTTAAGAAAATCCACTTTTTCGATAACCATAGAAAAACATGGCAAAAAGGTCTAAAAATGGAATAGTATTTTCAAATTTCTTTTCCAACAAATTGATTTCATAGTAAATAAGTATGATATTCAGAATCAGATCCAAAAAGTTACGTCGAATAAACTATATTTTATCAAAAACTATTTTTGCTCGAAATCTCGCCTGTGGTCCACCTCAGCTATGTTTGTGCTCCATATAATTCTGAAGGGGAGTAGAGGCGAAATTTCGAGCAAAAATATTTTTTGAGGGTGTGGGCGGGGGTGGAGGTATGTGTTTGAATTGAAAACAAAGATCCACACCCACACCCACCCCAAAACGAATATTTTTAGAAATAAGTTTTATTATTGTTCACATTTGTATTTTGCGTAAATCTCGTATTTTATGAAGCAGAGTCTGCTATCATTTAGGCAAACATTTTGCCACATTATATGCAAAATATATCGCTTAAATAAAGTTGTATAGATCTGAATTTTATTAATCTAATTTAGCAGAAATGTATAAGAATACTACGAAAGAAATAGCTGCGTAGCAAAAAAAGTGAAAATGCACATGAATTAGATTCATTTTTATCTAATATTAAAAAGAAACTTGACTAAATTATAAAATCTGTACATACGATGATATTCGGATAGCAACTCTGTTAAGGCCTCCCTCAAAAAAGTCACTTTTTGTCAGAATCGTTGAAATTGAGATAAATACATGGGGAGATAGCCTATCATATGCTCTTTCATAAATGATAAAAACTTCTCTTCGATACCTTCTGTTTTCCAAAAAAATTTCAAGATTTTTGACAATCCCTATTCGAAAAACCAAAAAAATGTTTTTCGTTTTTTCTCAAAACGGTGGTCGAACGACGTATCTCCAGAGAAAATCAACTATGATCCGATATAAAGTCAAATATTTTTTCTTGTTTGAAAGAGCATCAAAAACTGCAGTGCCTATGAGAGCCCTTTTTTTGATAAAATTTTGTTATTATTATATTGACAAGCAATTTTATAATATGAGCACCATGTTTTTGAGAGGTTCTTCAGTGATTAAACTTGTCAGATTTTTTTCCTCCAGATAGATAAGAGTAAAAAAAGAGAGTTTTTGGAGACGCGATAAGTTATTTTTGATCCTTGTTTAGTTCGTATCTCCCTTATGCGCCAAAATAGGAGGCTGAAAATTTTACTAAAGACGTCCTTTTACAGCCCCCACATATCCTCAAAGTTTCACGGCATTTGGATGTTCCTGGACTGAGATCGATTTTTGAGGAGGCTCTCTTAATAGAAAGAAAACTCACATCAATAGAAAAATAAATCTAGTGAAAAAATATTCTATGTCAATGTACATTTTCATTTCTACATATGATAGAATATATATTTCAATGATAATTTAACTAATTGAATTAAACTAAGAAAACAAACAAAACGTAACAGAATTTCTGTTCAAGAATCATCTTCGAATAACCGAATTCATTGAAAACTATACTCTTATCGTTATGTTGATTATATAAATAGCTTCGATTCACATTCTTGGAGGTTAGATTAACTTAGGTTTTCCGTTTTTTATTTTCTTGTAAAATTCTTTTTCTATGCGTTTATTCCTATCAACATTAGATGTTTATTTTCTTCGGAAAATTTAACAATAAAAACGAAACACTGTTTATCGTAGTAAACATACAGTTGGTCAGAAAAGTATCCGACCACCCTGTTCCAGTCTCTTGCAAAGACCTTATCCAAACAAATCCTTCAGAAATGGTGTGGGTGTGGGTGCATGAGTATGAGTATGGGTATAGAGAAGAGCCACACTCACATCCACACTCACACCTACATTCACACCCCATACCCACATCTACACCAACATCCACACACTCATATCCGTATCTACACCCACATACAACCACACCCGCTTTGCATTAAATATATTAGAAAATCGAGTGTACATGACAATGCTGATCACAACGCATCTTAACTGTATGACCAATATTCATGATGGATGAGAGATATGGCAATAATAGAAAATATCGTGTTATACATGGAAATACCAATTAACACGATGTATTGTCGCTAAGAGTGAAAAAACAACCCTGATTCTTTTGCTTGAGCAACACTCGAAAGAATCCGTGTCGCTAAGAATGAAAAAGCAACACTGATTCTTTTGCTTGAGCAATAAGCGAAAGAATCGAATTTAATTTGGTCACACGTCTTAAAGTAAACATCTGTGTTAAAGTACGATCGCCTGATGAAGTTACATCGATGGGGATTCGTTTTCAAAAATTAGCATCCAAATGAGACTTTTCGTGTGTACATAAAAAAAAGTACATTTAAATCTGTGCGTCTATGAAGTATTTTTTCATCATTCACCATCTCCATACTCGTCGGTAAGTAAAACATAGCATGAAGCGTTATCGATATATAAATGTTTCAATTCTAAAGCCACATAAACAGGTAAGAAGCGATACAATATGTATACACAATAAAGCATCTCTATAGCGGACACTGTTCTGATTTTTCAGAAGTGTATACTATAGAGAGGTGTTCACTCTAAGTAGGCCGTGTGTTTTCAAAATATAATGTTTTTTCAAAGAAGTAGACATGTTTCTAGGAATTTGGAGTATCAGTAAATAAGATAATCGGATAGAGCACTTTATTACTTCTCTTTTCATGGGTTTTATGTTTGACAATAGAACAATCAACAATTGTCAAAATAATCTTTAATAGAACTTTATTTCGCTACTTTCGAATACAGATCAATGTCAATTAACTGTAATTCAAGCATAGAGATGAGAGTGTGTAG